GAAAGGTCTTTAGTTTCTTATCAAACTGCTGAGTAACCAGTTGTACAAACTGTTGCATTATATTGTTAACTCTATTTGAGCTTCGTTGGATAGATCCAGGAGTACTAAGTGTAGTCATCAACCAATAGTAGATAATATCTATAACTAGTAGCTGAACTAACAGGGGCAGGTCCCCAAACATCTGCAAAAACAAGCTCAAATGGCGTATATGTTTGTGAATTGGAAGAAGGAAAATGACTTTGATGAAGTTTCCCATACTGACATGCTTCACAAAAACAAATTCTATTTAAGCTATGATCTTTTATATTCAAATTTGTAACAAGAGTGTTAAGTACAGAGGAATGAGGATGACCAAGTCTTCTATGCCATAACGTCCCCACTTTATCAATAGTTGAAAGTAAAGATTCTTTATTTGCTATAGTAATAACTGGACATGAAAGACCAAGACTAGACGAGTTATTCAAATTTGTAGTGACAGATGCAGCAGGCTTTGAATTGATGGAGGAAATAATGGAGGAGTCTGTCATATTAAGAAACACTTGAGGAACCTGCAGTTATGGAGATATTACTGTAGAGGACTCGGCCTGTTGATTGTGAAAGCCAGTTGGAATGTCAAGCTGATAAAGTCCATTATGTACATAGCCTTTAAGTAGAATCACCTGTGATGTCTTGTCCTTAACAACACATTCATCCGCAGAAAATTCAACAACCACATTGTTGTCACGTGTAATCTTTGATATACTTGGAAGATTTTTTGTTACTTGAGGTATATAGAGAATATTTTTAAGTTGTAAGGACTTGTTTATGCAAAAAGGAATAAGAGTCAAACCTGTGTGAGAAATGTCAAGAGATTGACCATTGCCCACTTGAAGAGACTCTGAACCATTGTATTGATTTGTGAAGGAAAGATTCTTTAAATTTGGAGTGATATAGTGAGTCGCTCTTGAATCAATATACCAAGTGGGATTTGCTACAGTGAGTGGAGTGGCTGTTGAAGATGTGGACCATTTTCCAACTGAGTGGTTTTTCATCTGCATTTCTCCTGAAGGCTCATAAGATGACAGTGTTTGATCTGCATGAAAGGTTGAATAGGTGTACTGAGACTAATTTGCTAGTGCTAAGTTTTGAAGCTGTACTAGATTGTTACTTATAGGTGAGGAGATAGAAGGAAACTGATTTGGACCATGGCAGAAGTTTGGTTGCTATGTGCTTACAAACTAGGCTTGAGCAGGAGTTGTCATTTGTGCAGATTGTTGTGTCATATTATAGTCCATTTCAAAGTGAGATTTATGATTTTGATTCCCTTGAAAGTTAGTGTCAAACCGATGGTAACATTGAGGGGCCATGTGACCACTTTTCTCACACAATTGACAAAATAATCTTGGCTTATAGAAGTTTCTGTGTTCATTTTGGTTTGGAGGTAGAGATTGAGTGAGATGTTGTGTTGGTTGTTCCAAACTATTTTGCAGTGGCATGTTTTGAGCTAAAGAAATGGACTGTTTAGTTGCTAGGAATGCAGCAGCTTCATGAAAACCTATATAAGCTGCATGTTGTTTTTCCAACCTCATCTCATGTTTATGCAGTAGGAATTGTGCTTCCTATAGAGATACTTCACTACTCCTTGACATTAAGGTTACTACCATGGCATCATATTCAAAGCCAAGGCCATCAAGGATATATAATAACTATTATTCATCATTTATGGTTACTCCACTAGCAGTAAGAAAACCAGCAATCTCCTTCATCTTTAGTACACATTCGTTTATGCTAGAGTTTTCTTTCTTAGTGGTTTGTAACTGATTTCTTAAGTGCAACGCTCTAGCCTCAGAATCAGTCAAGAAATACATCTATAAGGTGTGCCATATATCATAAGCTGTCTCACAATTTGCTACGTGCCTAAACATAGTTTCGGATATGGATGAGATTAACCAACTAAATAGAAATCAATCTATTTTCCTCCACATGATATGATCAGAGTTGATTACTTTCTTAGATTCATCGGTTGAGGACAGAATAAAAGCAGAGGGACATGGTTTCTCACCTGTGACAAAACTTCCCAACTCATAAGCTTTCAAGATTGGGAAGACTTGGGACTTCCAATATGCGTAGTTCCTCTCTCCTAGCTTCAGTGATAATGGGCAAAGTGTTGTTCAGAGTTGTGGATGAGAAGGAGTTTGTCATCTTCTCAATCGAAGAAACACCAGAAGGTGAAGGCGTTCTTGGATATGCCATTGATGTGTGTCAAGTATAGCTCTAATACCATGTGAAAACTTTCAACATAGTAGAGAGAGAAAGATGACTGTAAAGGAAAATGCGAGAGGATGAAGAAAGGAAAAACAGAGCACTAAACTCCTTTCATATTTCACTGCGTGAATAGTAAACTATTACAAACTTTATACATGCAGATCATTCTTCTCCACTGTTTGATTACTAACAAACTAACTAGATACAAGAAATATGGTTCATTTGATCTGTAACTTGCATCTCCACTTGCACGCCAACTTGTATTTGTTTTGCAACTTGTATTTCCCACTTGCATGCCGTTAGTAGATCATAAGTCCAACTTGTATCTGCTTTGCAACTTGTAGTGCAAGTTGTTTTCCTACTTGCATGCTGTTAGTAGATGATAAGAAGTGTGAACTGAAGTTGGCACAATTTTGACCCTGCATGTGTTTTCTATGGTTTGGATCTTTTGCTTAAGTGAAGATTGATCTTTTGGTTAAAAGTCAAGGGGCACCTTTTTTATTTTTCTTTCTTTCTTTTTTTAGGTATCTAAGATATCCAACACCACGTTGGAGTTTGCCTATTCCTCAAGGTCATGGAAACCAAGGGACACGTTGAAAGCAAGCATACGAGACTAAATTCATATTAAAACAAAAAGAATTCTTCTACCATTTCGACTTTAAGTGAATAAATGTTTTACAAAGATTCTTAAGATCCTTAGACAAAGTTTCATTTTAAACGAGTGTTTATCCACCTCATGATGATGGCGATGTAAAATATATCATGTACTGTTAATGAAATATCTTCATGGTTAGTTATCAGATAGTACTCTTTGTATCTCATGTAGCTCATTGCAGTAAACATTTTGGCTTTCCACAAACTTAAATATGCAAAAAAAAATTAAGATGTCGCATGCTCTCTCATGTAGGGATAGCAATTGGGCACATAGAACTACGGATCCTAACCCCAAGGGAGTGGTCTGACCATCAAGGAGATTTGCTCAATTCCTTGAGTTTCTAGGTTTAAAGTTAAAACCTTGGTGTCATCACATTATGGCTTACCTGGTCCTTTGTACTTATAGGGTGTTCAATGGACCGTGGGAGTTAGTTGAGGTGCACGCAAGCTGATTTGGACACCCTAATTAAAAAAAAAAAAAAAAAAAAAAAAGGATCCTAGTATTATCAAACCCTAATTGGAAGGTTGTGATAATCATCAAAACTTGTTGTTTTAATTATGAGTGGTGTTATTTAAACCCCATTCAAACTTTCTACGCCCCAAATTCAATAATAAATAAATAAATTGCTACAGTTAAAGAACTTTGGATCATACTGTGTGATGACCCTAATGGTTTCTCTCTCTGTCTCTCATCTAGCTAGCCATGAATGAATCAAAGAACGTAGAGATTTTACCTTCAGAATTTGCGTGAAAGTTTTCTCAGCTCAAATACCAAATGGATTCAAATACCATATGGTCAATAAAAGAACATGTAAACATTAATTGAAACGTGCACCTAAGTAACTTACGCATGATGAAAACGAATTTGACTGGTGATCTCTTCATTATTGAGGCTGAAAAAAGCTAAGTGGCAGACATCAATAACGCAAATTAAAGATCATAAAGAACACCAAACCATGCTAGCTACCACTATCTAATATATAAATAATTTTAAAGATATTCTGAAAATGATATACTGTTGTGTTTCTCCCGTGTGGAATGGAATAATGTCGCTGTCTATGGGTCGACCTTGAAATCTAATAAATAGTACTTACTGTTAAGAACCCTGTTCAATTTCATAACGAAGCGGCAGAATTATGTATGCTTTTCTATTTTAATTTCTTTGATTTCTATTTTACAGTAATTAATCTTATCACAAGATCAATGCTCAGCAATCATCAAAATACTATTGCATGAGTTTTATATTCTGTACTGAAATTGGAGCTATGTCCTTTAACGGTGAACTCCTTTTAATGACAGAGAACAATAATCAGGTCTGATACCCACCAACATCATGACAGAAAGGTCTTTGCGTTTTGAAAATGGCTTAGAAAGCTTCAAATTCAAAAAAAGAAAACACATAAGAGTTGAGAAGAAGAAGAGAAACAAAATTTTTACGTTTAATTTCATGTACAGCGTAACTGAGAATTATACACTGTATTTAACGGTGTGTGTATTTGTTTAAACGTTGGGAGGTTACAGACACGGGCATTTTTGTATTTAATGGGATTTGTTGGTCATAAGGGGTTAGGGATGAGGGTGTTAGTTTATTTTCACTGTTTTTTTTTTTTCTATGACCGGGGTGGCTGGGCCAACTTATGTACACGGACACTAATCCTGCAGGACCCTGAAACTACCAGCCACTGACACTAATCTTAGTGGACCTTGGAACTATCAGCCGGGCAAAAGCCCCAGTGGCTAGGCCACCCCTCTTAGTAGACAAGATGAATCGAACTCAAGACCAATAATATACTTAAGAGTCTTAGTTGACCACTCGATTACTCAATGATGGTTTACAAAGACAATGTTACAAACGTGATACTAGTAGAATAATTTCCTTAAAACCCATTTTGATTACCAAAGGCAAAATTAATCAAATACAAAATTGGATTCTAGATATTCCTAAAATTTATGCTGTTGTTATACTAATGTACATACATAATTTCCTTCGCACAAGAATTTTTTTTAACAAAACTTAATTACCAGCAGTAATTGCGTTAGCCATATTTATATATGAAAAAAGAAAAAAAAAAAAACTGGGTAGAAATTAATAAATTTGATTCGAATTCAAAGAAGAATTAACTTGGCAGGACTTTATTTCATGATCATATCTTACAATGCTCACATGGTAACTTCCTGCATTTCTTATAGAATACAGCAAAGTGAGCCACATTATTCTTACATAGCTAATTTATACACGCTGAGCCCCTGCTAGCTCCCACAAACAACACACTACATGCTCGATTATTACAAACGCCAGAAAACGTAACTGATCTGGTCTTCTAGAATTCTGAGCATTAGATATGGTAAGGCGGTCGACCTGGTTGGTTTAACGTTAGGACTCGACTAAACATCCATAGCCAAGGATTTCTTTCTGTTTGGTTTAACGTCATCAAGGTAAATTGTAACATCAGGTCTTGGTTCGAAGTCCTTGACAAAGAGTTTATTTGTGGTTGGTTTAACATTATTATGATAAATTGTAACATCGGGTCTAGGTTCGAAATCCTTCAAAAGAGATTTCTGTTCAGTAGGTTTGATATCATTGTGATAAATTGTGACATCAGGGCTCGGCTCAAAATCCTCAAAAAAGGATTTGTCTCGGGTTGGCTTGATATCATTGCGGTAAATGGTGACATCGGGTCTCGACTCGAAATATTTTAAAAAGGACTTGTCGTGGGTTGGTTTAATATCGTTGTGGTAAATTGTGATATCAGGTCTTGGCTCAAAATCCTTAAAAAGGGGTTTCTCCTGGGTTGGCTTGATATCGTTGGGGTAAATGGTGACATCGGGTCTCGGTTCAAAATCCTTGGAAAAGGATTTGTCTTGGGTTGGTTTGATAATGTTGTGGTAAATGGTGACATCGGGTCTCGGCTCAAAATCCTTAGAAAAGGATTTGTCTTGGGTTGATTTGACATCGTTGACATAAATTGTGACATCACTCGGCTAAAAATCCTTAAAAAAGGATTTTTCTTCTGCTGGTTTGATATCGTTGTGATAAATTGTGACATCAGGTCTTGGTTCAAAGTCCTTAACAAAGGATTTCTCCCCCGTTAGTTTGATATCTTTGTGGTAAATTGTAACATCTTGCGGTGGCTCGAAGTCACTGACAAAAGACTTCTCTCCCTTCTGCTTGATGTTTCCTGATATAAGATAATCAACTTTGTCATTAGAGATAGAGTTGGAAGTATCTGCACGGACAAGATTAATCTCGATTGATTCTGGCTTACCTTGATCTTTCATGACATCTCTCCAGTATTCTCCCATATCTTTCCTTCCATCAATAGAGCTGGCAAACTGCACAAGAAAAGAAAATTATTCCCATAAAAAACTGAAGATTATTGATTGAAAATTCTTAATTTATTTCCAAAATAAAAATGTTCTACGTAAGCTATATGTAAAGCTTCAATAATATATATGAAAAAAGGATCGATATTGAACCCTGTGTTAATCTTGCTCTTCGTAGAAAGAAATGCTTACCAAGAGAAGTAAGGAGAGTATGCAGAGAGCATATGAAGCTTTCATGTTTCTCATTAAACCAAGTGTCTTAGATAAAACTTGTATGATTTTGCATGGAAGCCTTATTTTTCTCGCTATTTATAAAGAAAAAATTCTCGAATCTCTTGCAGGTGATTAGAGCTGTAAAATAATTAAGCACGTGTTAAAGATGATATGAAAGCATGTTAAATAATTCAATTTGAAATCCAATAATTTCAACGCAGTGGACCATATATGATCTTTTAAAAAAGAACATCGACTGAGACAACTTACCCTATATGAAGAGTGAATTATTTGTTCATTTCTACTTTTCTCTGGATACCTTACTGCTAGGGGTTTTCAAAAGAACCTGTTGGAATCGGAACCGATGGGTACCCTAGGTTTGGTTCCTGTTCCTACCCAAAACCAATTATCAATGGGTAGGTTCCGATTCCAAATTTTTGGAACAATTACTATGCGGTTCCGGTTTCGGTTCCTATAGTTAGAAACCGAAACCGAAACCAGGAACCAAGAACCGAGACTAATATAAAATTAAATTAAATATTATGGGGGTTAATAAAAACTTTTGTAGAAAAAGTAATGTTAATACATTTATATTTATATTTCATAACATTTAAAGTAAGTTGGTTTGACTTTTAAGAATCTACCTTTACAAAATAATGGAGTTTGTAAATTTGAATTTATAATTTGTAATTTTATTTTTGTTAACAAGTGCAAGGTGGGGGGTATTTGTAAGTTTTTAAGGATTTTTTTGCTATTTTAAAAACTTTTGGGGGGTCATAAATTTTACAGGGTACCCAAAACCGGAACCGGAACCGGAACCATTGTTACAGGTTCTGGTTTTGGGTACCTAGGAACCGAAACCGTCGGTTCCGGTTCTGGTTCCAAATTTCAAGGACCCGCTGGTTCCGGTTCCAGTTCCTTCAAAAAGTGCAGGGTACCCGGAACCGAACACCCCTACTTACTGCAATAGGGTCGGGGCTGTGAAGGCATATGAAACTCATGATGCCACTTATTTTATCTTGATATTATTATATATTTTGTTATTCAAATATTATATTTATGAACTTTGTTTTATGTTTAATGGGGTATCTTCTGTTTTCTAGCATATTAATTTCATTCTTACCATGTCTATAATCCAGAAATTTTTGTTAGGGTGGGGCAAAATAAAAATTAATTATAATTGATATTTTTGTCCATTAATATTTTTATTAGGGTGGGTCAAAATCTAAAAATTATACATATTAGCATTTAAAAAACAAAATTTGAGGGTGGGCCGAAAGAGGCTGGATCTGCCCCTGTCCATAATGAAAGATTGATTCATTAATTATGGGTCTTTGTTTTATAATCTTATTGGTCGATCTTGTATTAACTTTCACATCTTTAATTCTTGGTTCATTGAAAGATTTGAAGAGGTCAAGAAAACTAAGAAACAAAAAATGCAGAAGAAAAAAGTTCAGAGGAAGCTATTGGAGAACGAAGAAAGACTGAATCAGAATTTTTATTAATTAATTTCTGTTACAGTACATTAGCACTTATATAGCCAATTGAAACGACAGTGCTTTTAGATTCTGAAATTACACTTAGTACATGCAGCTTATACAATCATTACAAACAAGACCCCGGCTTCTTTAAACTCCTCTGTTTTTCACTAATTTCTCACAGTACCTCTGCTTAACATTTCCCCTTAAACTAAACATCCAGTTTCTTCTAAATAACTGCTCTAGTTTCCACTAATTCCTCTCAGCGCCTTTGCTTAATATTTCCCCTTAAACTAAAAATTCATTCTATTCTCAGTGCTTTGGCCAAACAATTCCCCTTAAACTAAAAAAAAAAAAACATTTTCCTATCAAACCATATCATAACACCAGTCTAGACAGACCACTTCTTATACCACTGCTGCTTCAAACCATCACCAGAAAATTCAAAAGCTCAACTATATCATAACACCAGTCATAACCCCATATCAAACCAAAAACATTTGTCTATCAAACTACATCATAACACCAGTCTAGGCAGACCACTTCTTATATCATCAAAGCAAGAAATCTTCAAACTGAATTATCAGTCAGTTTAGCAGACAAAAGAAGATTTTTATTAACAGAAAAATGATTATTCAGTTGTTGTATATTGATGTTCCGGATTTGGTAGTAAAGCAACAACATTCAGTTTATCTTTTAGCATTGAGAATCTTTGTGCAGGGAGAGCTTTAGTGAGAATATCAGCAAGTTGATATTCTGATGCAACATATTGTACAGCTAACTTCTTATCCATGGCCAACTCTCTTACATAGTGAACATCGATTTCTATGTGTTTAGTCCTGGCGTGAAAAACTAGATTTGATGACAATGTACCCGCACTCATATTATCACACCACAGTATAGGGACAGCATTTATCTGGATTCCAAGCTCTTGAAACAGATGTTGAATCCAGACTAATTCTGTGGAAGCTTGACTCAAGGCTCTATATTCAGCCTCTGTTGAAGAAAGAGAAACCACTTTTTGCTTCCTAGAACCCCATTGAACTAGATTCCCTCCAAGAAAAATACTGTAGCCAGAGGTGGATCTTCTATCACTTACATCGCTGGCCCAATCTGCATCAGCATACCCTTCTAGCAGAAATTTTTCATTTTTCTGGAAAAATAGTCCATGTTGAACAGTCCCTTTAATATACCGGAGCACTCTCTTGCATGCAGTCCATTGATTGATTGTGGGGTACTGAAGAAACTGACTTAACCTGTTGACTGCAAAAGCCAAGTTAGGTCATGAGAGTGTTAAGTACTGAAGGCTCCCCACTAAACTTCTATACAGCGTAGGTTGATCAAAGAGGAAACTATCCTCTTTTCGCAATTTCGTACCTGTAGCCATTGGGGTATTACATGGCTTACACTCAGCTAAACCAGCTTTGCTCAGTAATTCTTGTGCATATTTGGTTTGGGTAAGGAGTAAACCTGTCTCATTTCTACACACTTCAAACCCAAGAAAATAGCTTATCTCTCCTAAAGTTTTGAGTGCAAAATAGCCATTCAAATCAGTAACAATCTGATCAATCAACTCTGAATCATTTCCAGTAATTAAAATATCGTCAACATACACAAGTAAGTATATTACCTGAGTATCTTTCTTGAAAAAGAATAGACTTGTATCTGAAGTGGAACACTGAAAACCCCAAGTTAAAAGGGCAGATTTCAACTTATCAAACCAGGCCCAAGGTGCCTGTTTTAATCCATACAGAGCTTTGTTGAGTTTGCACACATGTTTGGGATGAGTCTTATCACCAAAACCCTCAGGTTGCATCATGAAAACATTCTCCGACAGGTCTCCATTCAAGAACGCATTGTTAATGTCGATTTGCTGTATCTACCAACTGTTATGGACTGCCAAGGAGAACATAATCCTGATGGTAGCTGGTTTGATCACAGGAGAAAATGTGTCAAAGTAATCAACTCTTGGTGTTTGTTGAAATCCTTTTGCCACCAACCGAGCTTTGTATTTTTGAAGTGTGCCATCTGCTTTTAATTTAGTCTTGAAAACCCACTTGCAACCTACTATATTCATATCGGAGGTGGGAGGAACTAACTCCCATGTGTTGTTCCTTTTTAATGCTTCAAATTCTTCATTCATAGCTTGTTTCCATTTTGAAATGCTTAAGGCTTCAGACACACTTTTTGGTTCAAATAGGATGGAGGTTGTGGCCAGAAAAACTTGACTTATAATCTGGTTATTCTTGGTTTTTGATCTGGTGTGCATTGTATGACAGTTTGTAGTAGCATTGGTGTGTGCTAGAGGTACTGACATTGATGCATTGTTCTGAGAGATGGGTAAGACAACCTCCAGGTGTATTCCGGGAGCTGAAGGTTGATCAGAAGCAGTGTAAGTGCCTGCTGTATTTAAGAAAGAGTCACTAAAAAAATTAGAAACATCAGATTCTGAAACTGGGATAGTATCAGTAACAGGTCTCACTGAACCCCTTGATGTTGTTGTAGCAGGTAGGTTTATAACTTCTGTTAAGTCTTGTGCTGAGAGACCCTTTCCATATAATGAATCTCCACCTGGTTTTTCAGTAGGCAATTGTGAATTAGTAGCATCAGCAGCCAGTGAAGTTGTATTTACTTCTGTAGTAGAAGACACATTGTTATTAGTGACAAAAACATAATTTGAATCTAAACAATGAGCAAGGTTCCAGGATGAACAAAACTCTTCAGAACTAGTGTTTGTAGATACCCCTATAAGATCCAGATTTTTCAGTTGCATACACTTGAAATCATGTTTAAAAGGAAACATTGTCTCATTGAACTTGGCTTGTTTAACAATATAAATCTTTCCTATGGAAGACAAGCATTTAAACCCCTTATGAGCTGGACTATACCCAATAAACACACATTGCTCAGTGTGATAAGAAAACTTATGTTTTTGATAGGGTCGTATGTATGGGTAGCAACAACAGCCGAAGACCCTAATATCAGTATATGTGGGTTCTTTACCAAACAGTTTCTGATATGGTGAGACATCTTCAAGAGCAACAGAGGGCAGTTTGTTAACAATGAACACTGCTGTGCTAAAGGATTGCCACCAAAAACATAAAGGCATTCCTGCATGTGCTAACAAAGTTAAACCAAACTCTGTAATTGTTATGTGTCTTCTTTCCACCTTCCCATTCTGTTGATGTAAATAGGGGTAGGGGTGTCTAAAACCTATGCCATGAGTTTCCAGATAAGAAGTAAAAGACCTGAACTCCCCTCCCCAATCAGTTTGAAGATTCTTCAGTGTAGCATCTAATTGTTTTTCATCAAACACATGAAAACTAGTAAACACCTTAAAGGCTTCAAACTTGAGTTTCAAAGGGTATATCCACATGTATCTACTGTAATCATCAACAAACAACATATAATATTTGAAACCTTCTGTAGAGCATACTGGTGTAGGGCCCCATAAATATGAATAAACCAGTTCAAGTGGCCTAGAAGTCTTAGAATTTGACAAAGGAAAAGAAGTCTGAGCCAATTTGCCAAATTGGCAGGCTTCACAAAAACTTTTATTATAGGTAGACAATCCAGGTACATGCAATTTATTTAATACATGCTTA